GCCTATGAGCCAGGGAGTCACTGGTTCGATTCCTAGTCAGGACACATGCCTGGGTTGTGGGCCAGGTCCCAGCAGGGATGAGTGAGAGGCAACCACACATTGATGTTTTTCTCCCTGTCTTTCTCCATCCTTTCCCCTCTGTCTAAAAAATAAATAACTAAAATATTTTTAAAAGAACAAATACTACATGATTTCACTTATATAAGATACCTAGAGTAGTCAAGTTCATAGGGACAGAGAATAGAATGGTGGTAGCCAGGGGCTGGTGTGGAATTGAAGAGTAGAGAGTTTAGTGGGTACAAAGTTTCAGTTATGCAAGACAAAGAAGTTCTAGAGATTGGCCGCACAGCAATGTGAATGTACTTAACACTATTACACTTAAAAATGTACACTTAAAAATCCTCATCTTTTTCCCACACAGGTATGCATCTCCTAAACGCCAAGGGTCCCAGTGAGACTGCAAGGAGAGGAGCAATGGGTAGTGGCAGCTCATCCTGGTCTAAACCCCTGATCTTGTCTCCAAGGCCCCCCTTTCTCTGACTCTTCATGAGCTAATAGCAGCCCAGCATAGCTCACTTCTTTCCCATAACATTTCTAAGGAGCCAAAGCAGCCTAGGCTAGGCCCTCTCCTGTTGCTTCTTCTACCCTAAGCCCTTCCTTATTTCACTGTCCCCAGCTTTAATAAACATAATCTCAAAGTAAAAAAAAAAAAAAAACAGATCAAGACGGTAAAATTTTTTAAGATGGTAAACTTTATGTGGTGTGTATTTTACCACAAGTTTTAAAAATAACACTAGAATGGCCAAGCCTTGGGACTACCATTGAGAAGGCAGTATTCCATCCATAAGTAGGGAAGCACATGGTCTCTTTATCCAGTGTCATCCTTGCCTGTAACACGACAGGAAGAAGCCGCAGGACAAACATACTCTGCGCTGATGCCACATGCTGGACTGAGGACACGAAGGTAACCAGGACACATATCCTATTCTCAGGGGACCAAAAGTCGGACATTTGGATGGAATCATTTCTCTCTAAACACTACAAGGCTGTTGCCATTCCACCCTTCTGAGTGACCAGAAGAGCCTGCTCTGGATACCAAGGCCTGTCTAGCTCCCAAGCTGTGCTCCATATATGATTTCGAGCATGTATGTAAAAAAAAATACAGCATCATTTCCCAGGTGTGCTGCTTGGAACAGTAGTCTCATGAGATGCTACCAGAAAGTGCTCCAAGGCCTGAGACTATTCCCTCTGACACCACAAACACCTGTCCGTACTAAGGGGCACTCGGCTCTGCACAACCTGGGGAACATGGCTGCTGTTTACGTCTCACAGCGTGTGTGATCCTGGCTGGGCCAGGTACTCTCCTTAAATGAGGGTTGAATCTTGGTTTCTTCCTCTCCCTGGAGTGCCCAGCACCCAGTAGGCATTCAGAGCACAAGAGCCATTGCATTGCACACTTTCTTCCTACCAAAGCTAAGGAAGGAGTTTCTGCACTTGGAAACCAGCTCTCTCACTGGCACAGGGCAGAAAGTAATGACTTTTCCAAGGTCATCTCTGACTGAAGCATGAGACTGACACCCTGGTGGGAACTGGAAGTTCACAGGCAGCCCACAGTATCTGCTGTGGCTGAAACAAGCCTAGTAGAGACCCCAGGGCAAGGGGCAGGCTACCAATAGTTCTGCACATGGCCCCAGCACTAACACCTAGTAGAAAACAGAACACCTCTGTACCCTAACTAAGGTCCTCAGGCCCCCTTAGCTGAACCACGCTCACACACCTGAGTAATAGCAGCCTGAACACAAATTGGTACAACCTCCCATCACTGCATCTAAAGACAATTCTTGCCAGGTTACAGCTGAGGTTCCAGGCACTTAAACAAAGTATCTGTGATCAGGAAATTTAAGGAGAGTAAAGTGATCCCACTCACCATTGCACCTTGAAAATTTCCCAGGGCCAGGGGTCCTATAGGTGAAAGATGGAGAGGAAGCCACAACAGAGAATACAGACCTGTGGTTCTGGATAAAGAGTCCATGTCCCTCCCCCATGCAGATACTGGGTTGGTGGCAGTAGTGAAGACATTTTTGAGGTTGAGTGCAGAAGACACCTGTACCCCTCTCCCAGTCACATCGTCCATCCACCTGCTGCCTTAGCATGACTTCTGTTTTCTGAGTGTAGAGCTAAATAAAGCCATTAAAGAAACACAGATTCCAACAGGGTGCCATTTAACAGCTGTCTGAGTTGTGGCCCTAACAGACAGGGAGATTATGTTGGGATGGGGGAATCTAGACAGTACTGGACAATAAACAAGTAACACAACCTAGGAGTAAGGAGTTACAGACTCAGGGCAGGTGAGAGACTTGGGGGAGGGGACACCTTGACCACCGAGATTCCAACCCCTTGCAGACTTGAAGCTCTTGTTAGAGAACTGAACACATCTGAGGAGCCCATGCCCACAGGAAAACCTGTGCGCTGTAACCTCAGCCCACTGAGGGCGGAACGACAACCTGCTGATTTGGCTTGACAAACAGTCTTTTGACCTCGAAAAGGGTTCAAATAAAGTATTATTAATACATCTCTATTAGGTTTTGCAACAACTTGTGTATATTGGGCATCCTGAGTGTTTGTAATAAGAGGAGTTAGCATGAAAGAATCTAATATATCAGTCTCTTGATTCCAATTTAAAGTGAGTAATTGAGTAATTGTTTGGATTTGAGATTTTACTAGGTTTGTAAACAATACTGGAATGTTTATGAGAAGTCGAGATGCACTATATTTTGGTTTCCTTTATTATACTTATTAGAATTGCTTTAGTGTTTGGGAATGTTCTGATTGTTAGGTATTTGCAGTGCTTATAAATAAAACCAAATATATTAAATGTATAAATCTGTTTAAAATATAGAAGGGTATTTAATTAACAAAACTTGAAAAGCCCTTTTAAAAGTGACTGTTAAAATTAACTAGATTTATAAGTAGAATAATGGGAGTTGTCAGTTGGACTTAAAAGCATAAGCAGAAGTTTGGGGTTTTACAACATATTACTTAAAGTGAGTACAATTTTTAAAAAGTGACTTCACATTGATGCCATGCACTTGATTATGTGCTGGTCACCTCAGAGATCTTGACGGGCTGGCCTTGTGAAAGGATCCATATGCCTTTGGCTAGAGATTTACTACATCCATTCTTGGGAGAGGAAAAGAAAAAAACAAGCAGTTAGTTCAAAGTCCAAATCCTCATTTTATAAATGTAAAATGTCCAAGCTGCTACAAGAGTGCCACAGCTTTCAGCCATGCTCAGACGGAGGCTCTTTGTGCAGGTAATTCGTGGTGTTGTGCCAGCCGATGGGAGGAAAGGCTAGAGACTCAGAATGGTGTTCATTTAGAGAAAGGAACACTAGTGATCCACACAGCCTCCTCAACTTGCATTTGAGTCAGGGAGCAACATCTCAAATGCTTCCTTATTGGTCATTCTTGACATACAGCATGAGGATAGGTGTGACTAACCGATGAACAAGTCACTCTCTAAATGAGTAAGTAGTTAGAAGTGAGGCCTGGTAGAAGAGTTTGAATGTGAAGCTATGGGCTGGCCATAGCTACAACCCCCACCCCTGATTCATCAAACTGGAGACTGGTTGACAGGCCCAGGAAGAAGCTCTGGGGCTCCAGAGCAGGGAGCCCTGGGTGTGTCCTGGGCCTGTCCTGAAATGCAGAGTCTTTTTTCCTTGGGATCTCATTCTCCAGGCAGGCTTTCCACACATGTCCATTGAATTCAGAGCATGGGCTGGACTCTTGGGTCAATCACTGGGAAAGTCTACTTAACATTCTCCTGAAGCCAATCAAAGCCTGTGTGGCACCGTGTTAAGTACACAATGCTTTCACTTAACCCCACTGTGCAGACAGGACACTGTGCAGCTACAGGTATGGAGCCAGGCTTTGGACCAGTGCCTTGCAGCTGGAGGGAAGGGTTAGGTTATCCTCATTGATGTAAGGAACATTCAAACCTGTCGAGAATTCTTCTAAGAGTTTGAGTCAAAACTGATGACAATTACAGGGAAGCAAGATCTCAAACACTCCAGAGAATAAGTTTTGCACTTTCTTTTATGCATCTGAGATTAAAGAGGAAGAGCGAAGATAAACATTTACTATAAAGTTCTAGACCTGGGGCATGGCTGCCCAGTTAGGAATTTATGATCAGATCTCTCTATGAGTTTACTTTCCCTGAGACCCCTTTTTGGTCCACACCCCAAAGTGGTTAACTTGTCCTGCCATGAGCATGACTGGCTCCTCCCGGTGGTCCCAGATGCGCCCTCAAACCCAGGGCAACAACGCTGCTCTCCCTCTGCCCTCTGCCTCACATGCTGTTCAGCTCCTGGCTTCTTCTCCCAGGCTAGAACACTTCCTGCCATCTAAAACAGTTTGTGCTTATTGAGCTAGAAAAAGGCTAGAAAATGGATAAAGCAGACACTCAAACTGACTGTTTCTCATCCCAAAGTAAGAGTTTTCCTGCTTAAGATTTTTGTTGTTGGAATGTTGTGATGCTTTAACTGTAAATGATGTAACCAAAACTGACTAAAAATTGATACACTTAACCAAAAAGACCAGTGTTGTGAGTGGGACCAGAGGTTGTGGAAACACTTCCTTTTCTTTCCTGATTCCACTTTCCTTTCCAGGCTTCATCTGGAGGTACCTGCTCCTCTTCTTCACAATAAGGAGTCCCAACTCCCGGCTGTTCAACTCAATCACTCAGGAGAAGGGAACCCTTCCTGCTTCCTTAGCTATTGCACATAAGCCTCTGACTTGTCTCCTGACCCTACTTAGCCCAGCTTCAGTCTGTTCTCTACTTCATTCGGCACAGAAAGTTCTGGAGGCTAGGAAGACCAAGGCAAACTGCAGGCAAGGCAGATCTCATCCTGAGGACTGTTCTCTTGGCTTGTGGGTGGCTGTTGTCTTACCATGGGCTCACATGACCTGTGTGCTCAGGCATGATGGAGAGAGAAAAGGGATTTTTTTATGGAACACTTCATAAATGTGGGTGTCGTCCTTGCTCAGGAGCCTTGCTAATCCTCCCTGTATCCTTCCAGTTTTAGTATATGTGCTGCCAAAACACGCACACACAAAAAGATCTTTTAAGACTTATCTTAAGGTGAGAATCAAGGGAGCATAAGGAACCATGGATGTGGCAGAAGAAGCCATTCTAAGGAAAGGTTCAAGATGAACTTCCCTAGAAGGATTTCCAGGAGTGTTGGGGTTAGGGTGGCCGAGCCTCATGCCAAAGGGACTGAAAATCACTGTGGGTCAGGGCAGGATTCAGTGGCCATGTGACGAGGCCCGAGTCAAAAAGAGAAGCAGGTTTTTCTTTTTGTCATCTGTGACCAGGCAGCTGCAGTCTGGGGGGCTAAACTGTCCTTTCAAGCTCTACTTCTCCCATTTTGTGTTCCTGGCCCCACGTCTGATGATCAGAGATGCACAGTCTCTAAAGGGTTTCAACAAAGTCTTGCTTAGATACAAGAGGAGCCATTAACTGAGACCACACTCCTTTTGCTTTAAAGACTGATGCAGGAAAACAATGGATGAGGGAGTGCTTATGTAGTTCAAATGTAGGTGGTCAATAAACACCTCTGAGGAGGCTGGTGAGACGAGCAAAACAAACATGAGCTCAGTGGCCTGTGTCCATCTGAAGCTGAAATGCAGAATGCAGGGACAATTACAGCAGACCCTTACTGAGTGCTGGCCTTCATATATTAACTCATCTAATCTTCACAACAACCTGTTGAGGAAGTTCCTATTGTTAAACTCAGTTATAGACAAGAAACTGAGGCACAGAGACACTGACTCATTCAGCCCAAGGCCTGGACCCCCTGTAATCTGGCTTCAGGGTCTACACTCTTGGTTTCTCCCCTTTCTTACTTGTCTTCACTCTGAGTCAGGGACTAATGTACCTGTTTAACAGAGGAAGGTGAGCTCCAATTCCCCTGCCACATGTGGAAATTAAACAGGATGCTAAAAGCCAACCCCACACCCTGGGGAAACCAAGGGGAGGAATCACATTGTTCAGGTGCCTTTTCCTATGGAGTACAACCTCAGACAAGGCAGTCACACCAGGTCCTGCCTCTGGTTCAACAGCACAAAGTGAGTGCAAAGATGCTCAGTGTCACTAGTCATTAAGGAAATGCAAATAAAAACCTCAAGTAGAAACCACTTCACACCCAGCAGGATAGTTATCACCAAAAAGGCAGAAATTAACTGTTGGTGAGGATGTAGAGAAGTTGGAACCCTCATATGTTGCTGGTAGGAATGGAAAATGATGCAGCCACATTGCAAAGGGTCTAGCAGTCCCTCAAAAAGTGACATTTGGAGTTATCCTATGATCTATCAATTCCACTCCTAGATATATACCTCAAGGAATTGAGAACAGGGACTCAGACAGACAGCTATATTCAAATGTTCTATCTGTGATAGCCAAAATGTGGGAACAGCCCAAATATCCAACAATAAATGGATTTCTAAAAATGTGGTCTATATCACACTGGAACAATTCATTCAAAATTTGAGCTTGGTGGAATTTCCTCAGGGAGGAAAACTGAGACAGAGACAGTTCTGTAGGTGGCCACAAGCACTAGGAGGTCAGGTGGTGAAGCTGGAATTTGGACCCAGACAGTCTCAGACCAGAACCAAGATAGTATTCCCTCGGTCCATGTTACTTTTATCACAGGTCCTGCCAGCATTAGACTCATGACATTATAAAGCCACCTCTTCTCTCCCATCCCTGACTCTCACCCTGTGGGAGGAGTGAGATTACCCAGCCATCTGCTTCTCTCACACCCCTTTGCTGGAGGACAGGTCTTCCCTCTTCACAGTCAGGCTAAATCCTCAGAGCTTTCTTTCTCCCCTGCCCTCAGCACATCACCTGTTGCTAAAGGCTGCCCAGCTGCCTCAAATTTACTCATTTTCTCTTCTCCACACCCAATGCTTCACTGACTCTTTCCTTCTCTTCCTCACAAACTGGGAATGCAAAGGCACTCAGATGTGGCCCCACCCTCAAGGAGCTCACTGTCGAACAGAAACCCATGAGTAGACATTTGTATACAGTAATTAAGTTCATGGGAAAGGAAGGCACAGGGTCACACCTACAAGTGGGGGAATGAAGGTGGAAATCTAGGTAAACTGAGGAAATCAGGAAAACTTTCTTGGAGAACGTGAGACCTGAATTAGGCAGCAGGACACTAGGGACTCTAGGCTCTAGCCAGCTCATTTGCAGCTCTTTGAAGTTCAGCTCTGTACACCAGGCATCCTTCCCCAGCCTCTAGCCCCCAATAATCCTATCTTCGGTGCACTCTACCCTATAACTTTAACACAAAGCAAACATTAACAGAGTGGGGTTCAAATCCCTATTCTGACAAAACCCAGCAGCTCTGCACTGGTTATTTAACCTCACTAAGCCTTTCTCCAGCTGTGAAGCAGTGAGGATAATACCTCCTGTGTGTAGCTGCTGGAAGAATTAGCAATGACATGCAACCTAGTCCATGGTACTTATTTAATAAGTGGTTGTCCTTAATATTATACTGTTTGTTCTGCCTGAAATACCTTTCCCCTCAAGCTCCAATGTCTTTAGGAAATCATCAGAGATCCAAGAGTTGAAATGAATGTGTTCTCCTCCAGACCCCTGTCCCTTCTGTGAATGAGCATCCCAGAATTGGCCTTGCATCAGTGACACACAGCATGTAGAATCTCCAACTTGATGCTCAGCTCTGGACAGTGGCAATTGTGTTTTACTCATTGTTAACCCCTCAGCCCAGCTGTTTGTGAACCAAATCCGATCTTGAGGAATGTCTGGAGCAGCTGGGTGTGGGGGTGTCATGCTGGCCACAGACCACAGCAGGGACAGGCCAGGGGACCAGGACCTAGTGATTAAATGTGCAGTGGGGGAAGAGGGAGGAGACAACATAGGTCAGATGCAGAAAAGGGTACAAATAGGATGTGAGGGTGATCTGGCTGCGACATCTGTTACCCCATTGATCACCAGTGTTGATTTGGCTGATCTGGCTGGCTAGGCGGGTGTCCCCTTCCTCCCTCACCGATCCATGAGCATCCCTCCTGAAGCCATGCCCTTGGTCAAAGAGGACGACCTTCCAACTAGAGGAGAAAACCAGTCTTCAGTAAGGGGTATATGAATAGCTATGCTCCCCTGGTAGAAGCTTCCAACAAGCTCTCAAGAAAAGGTGAAAAATATAGGGAAGGGGAGGTGGAAATTAATAAGACTAGCATGCTTCAAACTGTCTGAACTTGTAAATTAGAGTCATTTTACCTCACATTAAATCTTCCACAAATAAGCAATCCCCAAAAGAAGACATTTGAAAAGACACTAAATATATAAAATTGGTCAAATTCTCTACAAGTCAAAAATTAAAATTAAAATAAGACACAAGATGTCAGAGTGGTAAAGACAAAAAAAAAATGTGTGTGCCCCATTGGTGACCCTCCCATCACAGCATGCCCTTTAATTCTCTGACCTTACTTCTAGGAACTTCTCTTAAGGAAATTATTAAATAAGTGTGTGGTAGCATATTCAAAAACATTTTATTATAGCATTACCTATTATAAGAGCAAAAACTAGCAAAGAACTAGATGCCTAATAATAGGATAGTATTAAATAAATCATGGCACAATATTATGTAGCCATAAAAATTAATGTAGCAACTCTGTGTTTCTTAACAGTGAAAGATGTTTGTGACACAGTGAAAGTGAAAAAAGCAGGTCACAAAATTATAACAATCCTACTTTTATATTTGCTTGCATATCTATAAATACATAGAGCAATTTAAATCTGGAAGAAAATCTCCTGTGTACAATGATTATTTATGCATACTTTCCAATTTTTCTGCAGCATCATAAAATAAACTTTGTATTCCATGTGGGCTGTAAGTGGTATGCCTGGTAGCTGCCTCCCTGCATGCACTAAACACCTGCTGGCCTGATGCTCACCAGTGATCCCAGTTACACGACCCCCATCGGGGCGTGAGTCTAAAGCCATCAGCAGAGAAAATCTTCCCAGGCCAGAGCAGCTCAGGAGGAGTAAAAGGCCCTTTTTTCCTCTCTTGCCTGTGAGAGCAGAGGAGAAAGTCTTTGTTCTGTTTAATGTGTTTATAAGAACAGAGAAGGGGCTGTCCCTGCTCTGTTCTAGAACTGGGGGTCATACATTTAAAAGAGCAGCAGGGCAGCCCATGGTTTATTCCACTGAGGTGTGTCATGGAGGTGGAAGAAATATAAGGCCCCTCCCTCTAGGAAGTCACCAGGTCAAGATCTAATTGTCATGACCACCCTCACAATGTCAGGTTTCCCCAAACTCAGGTAAGAGAAACCTGAGATTGGCTTTGGAATTAACTGATTGTCAGCCAGTGTTAGAATTCCTCCTGGCCCCCGGCACTTCTCCAAGCCCAGGAGTCCCTAGGAAGCCAGCCCAGGCACCAGCACAGTATATTTAAAGTAAATCCTTGGGCTTGAACTTGCTCCAGGCTGCAGGAACATGGACACCTGTTTGAGTGGATGGAGAAGGAAAAAGAATGGGGTTTAGAACAAAGGGCAGGAGACTGTCCCTAGAGAAAGGTACTACTTCCTCTAAGAGTCCACCAGAACTGTTTTTTCTTCTATGAATCACTGACAGTTAACTTCTCCTGAGTGGTATTAGTGTCTTTTCTAGAATTTCCAGGCATTTCACAGTTTAACTCCTGTATTAGGATGACTGTGTCTAGAGGGAAGGGCCAGTTTCGACAGTTTCCTTATGTCACTGCTTAAGTACCAAGCATGGCATCTTGTGCAATGATACCATACCTTCAACACACAATTAATGTGGGCCCACTATGTGCAAGCAGGGTTAGAAGCCCTGGAGAGTCTGTAGTGAACAGGGCAGTTCCCACTAAGATAAAAATAACAATTTAAGTAAGACAAACAATCCCACCTGCCTTTCCATTCAGTGAGCCCATATCCAGAGAGCCCAAGCTGGGAGAAATTATTCTGGGGTTCCTGCCTGAGCATCTTACCAGGCAGAATGGGGTTTAATGCTAATACAGTTTTTCATAAAGCATCACTCTTCCGTAAAAGCCAAGTGCT